TTTTTTTTTTGTGTATGTATGTAACATATATGCTAATCCAAATCAATAATTCTAATAAATCTGTTAAAATAAAAAAGAATCCTTAATAAATAAGAGTTCTAAAATCGGCTACGTATAATTATTTACATAATCTTTGCCTACAAAATCACTATCATTGTAATTAAAGAAAAACCAAGAACTTACTGAAACAAACACAAACCGAAAATCGAGTTATATGAAAATTATTCAACTAATGATTTATTTTTTATTTAGATCATTTTATATTATTTCCATCTATTGTAGGTAATTAATGTTTTGAGCGAAAAATGCTCATAAAATGTTCGGGTATGAAAAAATCATATGTTATTAAAAACCTAATTGTAAACAACATTATTAGTTTGATTATTGGGCACACTACAATAAAATGATAAAGTTCCAGTTGAAATCTATTCCAAAAGAAATTATTCCAACGACAATTCCAACGGATATTTCAATACTATTATTTCCGTTGAAAAAATTCAATGGATTCCAACGGAAATTCCAATGGAAAATTTATTGGATTTTCCGTTGGATTTTGATGATTCCAACGGTGGATTTTTCAACGGGGTGGAAATGAAAATTCCAACGGTAAAAAAATCATTGGAAATATAGCAGTTGAAATCATCAAATTTTTAAGATTGACACTCACTCTTGTTTATCGTTATGACAATATAAATGAATGTTTATCTACAAAACTTAATCATTGAAATGTAGTTATCGTGTGTTATTTTTTAATTTCGTGATTGATTGACTATTTTATTAATTAGTTGGTTTGAATGAATATATAACAAATTTTGTTGTCAATCGTTATTAGAGTTTTTAAATTAATTTGTGTAAATGCATAAATAAAAAGAGACCTAAACTATGAAATTTTTTTCATCTTTTGAAATCAAATAAATGACAAACACCAACTTTTAAAATAAATAATGATAATGATTATAACATTGTATTATCAAAACCGATAAGGTATATAAAATTTGTTTTCTTTTTCAAATCGATAATGAAGGAAAAAGTCTAATTAGTGAAAAGATGATATATACATATCATGATTTTGGAAATCTGATATATACAGATCTTAGCATGCGGTTTCAAACAATTTAATAATATAATAATAGGCTGAATGAATTATGATTCAGATTAATGCAAAGAAAATTTTGAACATATTTCTAAAATCGTGATATGTACAAATCATGATTTTCCTTGAAGATTTATTCGGGATTTCCAAATTGTTTGGAAATCACGATTTCTAATCATGATTTATTCGGATTTACATTCAGATTTCCAAATTGTTTGGAAAAATAGGAGATTTATTCGGATTTTGATTACTTATTGTTTACTAATATAAAAGTATTTGATGTTATTAATAAAAAAAAATGAAAAAATCTGATTTACTATTTTGAGGAAATAATTAATGAAAGTGGCAGAAAATTGATTATAAATTTGATTTATGTTAATCCTTATTATATATAATTAACATATATGTTAACATATATGTTACCATATAAGTAACATATATGTTACTATCACGTAAATACTAATATATATATATATATATATATATATATATATATATATATTATTTATAACAATTATTAGAAATATGATTGATTCTTGAAATGAATCTTTAATTGACAATTATTAATTAAATATTTTATATTGTATTTTAAAAAAAAAATTATATTGTATTTTAAAAAAAATTAAAAATACGTATGGTAAGTGTATTTATTAAATTAAGTGTATTAAGTATGGTAAGTGTATTTCTTAGATTTATTTTGATTTTGATTCCATACTTTTGATTGTATTCCTAAAAAGAATTGGTTAAAAAAGATATGCTAATAAATAGAGATTTTGTTAATCCACTATTTTTAGGCAATAATTAATGAAATTGGCGGAAAAGTATTTCTAAAAATGAATTATGTTAATCCTTATTATATATTAATAGATTTTAAATTGCAAACACAAAGAGTAAATATTCAATGTACGTTAATATTAGTTATTAGTGTAATTAAGTTAAGATTATGTAAATAAATTTAAAATAAAAGATTGCGTTTAAATGTTTTGCAAAATATATAAACATGTTTTTTAGAATGTTTTTTTTTTCATAATTACATAATTAATTTAGCAATTGCCTGAAATTAAGTCCCTGCTATAATTAAGAGAATTTCTAATTTGCGTCATAAGGTTTTATAGTTTACGTAACATACTATGCAATGGAGATATAATACAATAATTTTATTATGTTTAAAAATCAAAATAAAAAAAAAAAATAAAACATATAATGATGTTTGACAATAGTATATAAATAAATGACACGTTGAAATTCTAAAGAATAATTATCTTATAATGGGCATTAGCAAAAGTATTTTATGTATATTATTATTATCTCTTAAATGGTAAATTATATTGATTTTAAGAATATTTTTTTATATAATTAAATAAATCTTAAAAATAAATACATTCGCAAAGACGAATTTACCAACTTGATCTTGCTTGATTAATAGGAAGAAAAATATTACCTAACCTATTACGATTTCTATAAATATTTGAGGATGAAAAGTCAATGTTTGTTAAAAAAAATAATAGGGTTAGAACATAAATTTCACTTTCATTTTACCATAATCAAAATATTATCAACATGAAAAAACAATTTGTAGCTTATTATAATGGATTTTAACAAACTTGATGTAGATGCTAATAAAATTATATATGGAATATGTGATTTATTTTGATTTGGAAGTGTATATATGCACGTAATTAATGTATACGTTCTAAAAGTTTACAAAGAATGTATGCATTAAATGTTTCCATTTTTTCTACTATTTTTAGTAAATCTTATTTTATTTGTATATATATATAATATAATAATAATTTAAAATATAAATTAACATTTATAGATTTATCAATTTTAAACTTATAAAAGTAATGAATGATATTTTATTTCTTTATTATTATTAATATTTGTTTATGATGTTTGTATATACATATTGTTGGTTTCTACGCCAATTAGAATATTAACATATCAACATTTTGGTTATACTTTCTTCAAACTCATTAAGGTTTTATAATCAACTCGACTCGATAAGATTCGAAAATGTAATTATTTTTGTAACTTTTTGTAACCGGACTCGTTAAGGTCCAAGTTCGTTTCACTAATATCGATAAATAACCATGTCGAGCTCGTTTAATAATTAGACAAATTCAGTTTGATTTTATAACGACTCTTTATAACCGACTCGTTAACTTTTCATCTCGTTTTATTGATATTGGTAAACGAACTCCAACTCATAAGTATACGAAACGAGTTCAGTTCTATTCATTAAAGGTTCGAACCAAAACCCAAATATGAAGAGTTTAGCTTAATAAGACCGAAGGCCGAGGCCGAGCTCGAGCTCGAGTTGAGCGACTTGTGTACAAACTTTAGGTTAGACACCTTCCACGGGAAATGGCGGGAACAATTGGCGCCACTTTTGCCCTTTCTCCCCCATTTTTAATCCGCAGCCAGCGCCGGAAATAATACAAAAATCATCAACGTCCGCCGGAAAATGGCTCATTCCACCGACGAACGAGACAACGGCTTCAAAACGACCCCATTTTTACGAGTCAAAAAGCTGTCGGACAAAGCTATTCTGCCCTCGAGGGGCTCTCCACTTTCCGCCGGCTATGACCTCTCTAGGTACATTCGATTTTTTTTGGTTTTAATTTAATGGTTGCTGTTTGTTAACTCTTTTCACCAATTTGTGTTAGCGCGACGGAGACCAAAGTCCCGGCCAGAGGCAAAGCCCTAATTCCGACTGATCTGAGCATCGCCGTTCCTCCGGGAACTTACGCTCGCGTCGGTAAAGTTACTCAACCATTTTACGCACCTTTTGTTTTCCGTTGTAGGTGTTTGATTGATGATATCTGTTACTTTTTTATACCTTTGATTGTAATTGTAATAGTAGTAGTTTCGGGTCTGTTTTGTTGCTGTAATAATCAAAGTGGGATTTTTGTATATACAGAGACATTAAATTGCAGTCGCATACATTTTTCTTTATGTATTTCGAAAGGACAAAAAGAACGAAAAAAAAAAAGGATTTTTGCTCACTGGATTTCATATTCTTGATGATTTTTTGGGCAGCCCCTAGATCAGGTTTGGCTTGGAAGCATTCGATCGACGTGGGTGCAGGAGTGATTGATGCCGATTACAGGGGACCGGTTGGGGTGATTTTGTTCAATCATTCAGACACGGATTTTGAAGTCAAGGCCGGTGATCGGATTGCGCAGCTGATTGTCGAGAAAATCGTGATGCCTGAGGTTACTGAGGTCGATGATCTTGACTTGACTGTTAGGGGCTCGGGGGGATTTGGATCCACCGGTGTTTGAATCGATTTATGCAGATGATAAGTGTTGCTATCTATATAGGATTGTAATAGGCCTTGTTTGGGGGGTTTGTGATTAGAGGTATGTCATTTTCGAGGACAAGATTCCGGTAGCTATTAACAATGCAAATTATCTTATTGAGTATTTTGTGATTGGAGCACCACAATGGCTGTTGATCAATAGTGAAGAATAGGGATCCTTGCACTACATCTGCATGTTGCAACTCTAAGTGCTCTGATCGGATTATTATTATTTGGAAGTGTACCGCGATCGGGTCACTCTTTTCGGTTATTGGCGTCTTGATTGCAGATGTTAATGAGTTAAATATGCTTCAGGATCTCATTGCCTCATAATACTTGCAAGTTATATAAGCCAACTTAAATGTAAATGCACGACATGTGTATTCCTTAATCCATATAGGTGTATTCCTTGATCGGAACTAGTCCGGTGACCTGTGGGAAATTTCAATCGAAATGATTTTCCGACTTAACATATCATGTATTCATGTCACATGCTCAAGTTTTAAGTATTTTTCTCCTCTCAATTGTTTCTGTAAGGGGAAAAAAGAATGTGAACATCATTTCTGTTACATTAAAGAGAAAAAAACAAAAGGAATTACTTTCATATTTGCATTTTGCTCCTTCAACTACCTACATGTCTTCATCACATATCATTTTACTGAACTAAATTCTAAGCCTATGCAAGCATATATACAAACATAATCACTTAACTTCTTTACCCACAAACACCTATCCGAAGCCTAAAAGGCGCTCGACAAATTGGACAAGTGAGGCTCTGGGAAAGCCAATGGTCGATGCAACGAGCATGAAACTCATGGCGACAGGCTGGCAAGACCCGGCACACTTGGGCTTGCTGGAGGTTTTCTAGGCAGATGGCGCATATCGAATGACCTGGTCCCACTTCACGGTACAAACAAGTGGTCTCTTGTAGTTCCTCAACAGATAAATTGTAGTAATAGGAAGAATTACTGCAAATTGAATCCTGGTGTGGACTTTCCTCGTCTTGACTGCTTATGAAATCGATTACTAGGTAGCAGCAAACTAGGTAGACGATGAGGATAGCCATGATGCAAATGAATGAGAGATGGGGAGGTAAATCAGGTAATGAAGGCACCATTGTTTTTTTTTTTTTTTTCTTTTTTTTACTATATCATATAATCAAAATCTTGAATATCATAAGAGATGTTTGCTAATATATGCTTTGTGAGCTTGCTTTTCTTTAGGTGGTTGATATGCTTTTGGCTGACTTTACAAGCAAAGCTGGTTCGAAGTGCATTAGAGGATAACGACTTGTTTGGTGGCCATAATCATGTCGGATTCATAATCATGGGAAGCTGTTGAGAGAAGATGACAATATGGCTCACTCCGCTCCGTTCGCTTCGCTCGCTCGCTCTGTTTCCCTCGCTATGCTCACTCCGCTACGCTCGCAGGCATCAGACTGCCTCCTTCCTTTGTCAATATATGAGTCATACCAACAGAAGCTCTTCTCCTGCATATAATAGCAGTTGCTGGGTTATTTTTATCAGCCGATGCCAAACGGGCCCTTCGAAAACTTGGATTTCGTTACACACAAAATGTTGACAAAAAGGTGAATAAATCAGAAGCAAAAATAATGTTTTTCCAGTTGACTTCCACCACGTGACGGGCAATGCAATCAAACACCACATGTTTTTGTGATGTGTGATGATGATTCACACAATTACGGATACATCATTCCTTTAAACTTGGGAGTTCAAGGTTTATTTGTGTTTAAGAATGGCTATATTCCGATGTATATTACAACTAGTACAACACACGTGTATTGCACTGGGTGCTTGTTAAAAAAATATTTTTAAATTTTAAAATTAATGAGAAAAATTATTTTAAATTTTGTTTAATTTTTTAGAAAAAATATTTATTATTATATATTTTAGAATGATATTTGTTATTTATGCGACTTACATATATTATATTATAGTAATTTTTATAATTTATATCATATAACTACTTGAAATATAAATATATTAGCTGATAAATATTTTTTTTTGCTAATTAATATTAAAAAACAATTTTATTATTTTTATAGAGATAAATATAATTTTTTTTTTTATACATACAATATGGATGTTAAATCGAAGCTTATGAGATGATTAATTTGATATATTATATATGCAAAACTAATAAAAATACAGAAGTTATTAACTTTTAAAATACATTTACAATTCAATTATCATAATAAGAAATAATAATAAAATGTTTAATACATGTAACATGACCATAAATAATTAATATATTTATGGATAGTCTGGCCCTAATTATTTTTAGATTGGAAGTAAATTAAAATATACTCAAGTCTCATAAAGAAGCATGTAATTTTTCCACGTAGGACCCCGAAGTATGCGAGCCTGCCACTTACGCTCAACACGTTCTGAGGATATCCAAAAAAAAAAGGTTATATTTATTTACACTGAGGACTATGTCCGTACTTTAAACATTAAGTCAACAAATAGAAGAAGTTGCAGAGAGGTAAGTTCAATGGAGTTCACTCAAATTTTATTGAACGTTATTTGTTATCAACTTATCATTCATTCAGATTGTTTGGAAACATTGTGTATGTGAGTACAAGTTTCTGTAGTTAAGTTGGCAGGAGCGGAATTCATACCAAATCAGAGAACAAAACCGTAGCTGTTAACAAGTTCAGCACTCACCAGAAAATTAGTCATGAGTAACGATAATTCGGCTATTGAGTAAAACAAAAACGCGTTTAGCTATTATTATTCCATGACTAGAAAGCAGCCTAATTTGTGAGCACGATGTTTTTCTCCAGTGAAGCTGACGATTACATCTTTGGTAAAATTGTGCAGTCCTCCTTTGGAATGTCTGCATTTGCCTGCCCAACAGGGAAATACAGAAGAAAAAGTCGAAAAGGGAATTGAGTTTGTTCAGATCATAGCTACCTTTAAAATTACGGGTAGTACCATAACATTTATCTCACAATTAGTCCATATTTCAATATTAAGTGACGAATGAATAGCTTAAATCTTCGATTAAGATGCCAAGTTTACAATTTTGTTGTCTTCCGGGGAAAAAAAAAAGAAAAGAAAAAGGTCGCACTGGAAAACGCATGTGGCTAATAGTGACTAAGATTTTATTCCTGTTTTGGTTGTGTATAACTTGCATGAAAAAGTTACAAAACAATAATAGGACAATAGAATGAACAGGGATTTTGGTCACCTCTAGATATCTTGTTAGAAGTGTTGTTGTACTGAAATTGAAGCCCTCAACCGGGTCACCTTTCTTACGAGAAGCGTGAAGCTGCTTTCTGACTTGCGTAGCCAGTGACTGGTTTGTAATGTAGGGGCAAGAGGAAAAGAGAAAACAAAAACAAATTAACAGAGTATACTAGCAGCAAACATAGGGAAAAAATTCTAGCCAGAAGTAAATTTGTTATTATACCTTTCCCAATTCTACTCCCCATTGGTCAAACGAATTAATGCCCCAGATGAACCCTTCTACAGCAATTCTGTGCTCGTAAATCGCCAGCAGCTACATGTAAGAAGCATATTTGTTAGGCATGCCGAAATATTTTGTCCTAGACTAACGTTGACAAGCAATTAGCGATCTTCTTCACCTGTCCAACATTGTAAGCATTCAATGAAGGAAGCAGAAGGCTAACAGATGGCCGGTTGCCGGAGAAAGTCTACAGTAAGAGAATATAAGTTGAGGTCAAACATCAAAATTAGGTAAGAAGTTACATTCTGGATAAACAGAAAGCTGTAAATGGAATTACTTTGTGAGCAACAAGATGGTCAGGAACATTCTCTTTTAACAACTGCTCTGGAGTCTGAAGACAAAAATTCAGATGAAGGTTATATAAGACGAGTAACAAAAGGATTGGAAAGCAGAGGAAGAAAAAAGAGCCAATTACCTTCCCATAAGCAAGTGCATCAGGCTGGGCAAAGAAGTTCGACATGAGCTCATCATGGTTACTGACCAATTCACCTGGCAAAGGCAAGGTGCACTACTCTTAAGAAATTTCTGTGTGTATTCACCAACAAATATGGACATAAAAATCAAACCGACCCCAAAAGAATACAATTCGCTAGGGGGTAATAAGTCAAAGTACCTTTCAGGTAGACAGGTTGCTGACTCTTTACCATACCAATAAAATCACACGGAATAACTCGACCCTGAAATTTTCCAATATCATAATAATTCGACCAGAAATTCAGCAAATATTGATTCTTATCTAGGAGCTAAACCAAATTATGTTAGTACACCTATTTCTAAAGATCTCATTGTGAAATTAAATAGAATGCAAAAGTTGTTAATGATAGAGAACAAGTATCAAAAGAACAACTATATTCCCATCTCATATAGAATATCATACCAACAACCAACAGTTAAATAATTTTGCAATTATTTTACACAATACCATGATAATAATTCAAAGTATTGTCGGCAGAATAGATTGTACATGCTTGGATTATAATGACCACAAGAAGATTTAAAAATTGTGTCTTGTCTCAAGTTTCAGCAGAGTTTACATGCATGTTGCACACAAGGATCATTGTAATGAGGTGTAATACATTTCGGATCGGGGGCCTGTATGGTGAGTCTTTAAACAGAAGATATCTGTTGTGCAATCGGTCGAGAATTTTTTTTCTTATAAAATTAGAGACAAAACTTAAAAAAAAAAGAACATATTGGCACAAAAAAGCAACTAAGTTTTCATCTTTCCCTTCCATCTCGATAATTTTTTCAACAGATAAAAATGCCCCGGCCCATTTTTTTATCACCATTGTCACTCGTCACCAAGAACGCCAAATTAAAGAAAAAAAGACCTAATGTGATAAAACACTCAGAACAACTTAAAAATTCAAAAGAATGTGAAATTAATAAAAAATAAAGAAATTAACCACATGAATTAAATCACATATGAAAGATATAATATAAAATAATTTGAAAACAGATACAAAATCAAATAACAATGCCTTTGTCAAATATATAAATAAATAAAGAATCATTAATTCAATCATGGAGATATTTCACTGCTACGACGACTCTGATGCATTTTTTTTTTTCCCGCAGCCGAGTGGAGAAGTTGAATCTACAGATCAAATAAAGATAGAGGGATTCTTTTGATTTATCAGTAAGTTTGATTGGTGGGTTTTTTGAGGGGGTGTTCTTCCTTTTTACAGGTATAAATTTTGTTTTGGCCAAAATTTGTGGCCATTGGATCTTTTCATATCCAAGGGTAGATATGCACAGCAATATCTGCCGTTTAAGCAAGCACCACAGAGCCCCAGATCCATCCATTTCAGGTTGTACTTTCATATTTGCAGAGGAACTGCTCTTTTGTCATGCTTTGTCTGACATAATTTATGTTCAGACATTGATTGTCCAATACTATTCATACATCAAACAGCAGCACTTTTCAGGTATAAACAAGTGGAGCATTGAACAGCTGCACAGTACAAAGCAAGATCGCAGCCACAACCCATATTCCAAACAGGTAGTCAACTGAAGTAAACTCAGGAATAGTCATCATTTTGGACATAAACCAAATTTTACCTGGTGAATTAGTTGATAAAAGCTGTGTTGTCCATTTGTTCCTGGTTCACCAAAGTCAATCTCACCAGCTTCATAGGGAAGGGGAACACCATCAATTGATACCCCTTTTCCATTACTCTCCATGCTAACCTGTATCGACAGTATAGAACAAAGCACATTCGTCCTTTAATTGAAAAAGCAAGCCAGTGACGTGCAAGTAACATGGATATTCAAAATGGACTAAATAGTCAAGAAAACATGCCTGCTGAATGTGGGGGGCAAATTTTTCAAGTGCTTGAGTGTAAGGTAGAATGGCCTGCACACAAAGAAAGCCTGCTATTACACCTCAGGAAAAAGTACAACTTATGGGTTATCCAAACTGGCGTCACTCTGAATGACTTACTCTAGCAGGATATCCAAGGAATGACACATTCCAAACACTCAATAAGCCTAATAGCACCTGAAGGAAAGGGGAAAAAAATCAACAAAGTACAGACGCATGAGTAATTCTGAGAGAGCGACATGGTAAAAGGAGTTAGTTTCATAAACGAAACAACTACCAAAAACGAAATGAGAAAGGGTATCTAAAGTTAAAAATCAGTTGCAGGCAATGAGACAGACCCTTGGTAAATATTTTTTTCTTCTCATGGTATTCAATTTACCCAATGAGTGGGAGCTATTAGAATATTGAGAAGTATGAATGAAATTAACAAAGTAAGGCACAAGGGCTAAGCATCCTAACGAGAGAACATACAGGTAAGTTTTTCTCCAAAGGTGCAGAACGGAAATGTTGATCGATGCTTGAAGCTCCTTTTAAGAACCTTCCAAGAATGAGAGAAACAACATTGACATGTCAGGAAGAAAGAAAGCAACAAAATAAAATGTGCATTGATAAATATGCCGACTTCAAATATACATGTTTTCACCATACAAGATAAGTAGACGTTCAGAAAAAAAAAAAAAAAAAAAAATCAGTTTCACTTTGTCCAGGAAAATGGTAAATTTTCATACTTCTCAAAACTAATCTTAGTAGTATGAAGGAAGCATGCCCTTCTGTAAGGTTTCTTCCTTTCACATAATTGTGAAGTTTAGTAAAATAAAAATTAAATACATAAACAATGAACTAATATGTTTTACACATCTGCTTCAAGCATGCATAATTTATCTGCTACATGCATGAGCTATTAGGGAAAAGCTGAAAGTTACAGTACTTCTCAACAACTTCAAATCCATATTGCAGAGAAAGAGGCAATACTCCAACAGCGCTGCAAACTGCAAGCAGATATTCAAAGAAAAATTAGAATCATTTAAACTAATAAGTGACATAAAACTGAAAGTACTTGCCGCTATAGCGCCCTCCAACCCAATCCCAGAAGGCAAATGCATTTTTTGGGTCAATACCAAACTTTTCAACTAGCTGCAATAGAAAATCAAATTTGTAATCAGAATGACCAGTTATTTGATGAGATGCTGATTTCTCAATCTATGACCACCTTCAGTCTAGAACTGTCGAAACAACTTAACATATGCTTTACCGAGTGAATAGTTGCTACCCCAAATACATCATGTTATCCTTTATGGCACAAAGTAACATGTGATGGAGAAGCCTCCTCCAGAGAGAAGGTTAACACATAAAAATTATGTGCAGTAGACAAATGTAACAGCACAACAACTAAGCAAGATCTGAATAAGTAAATTAGAGGAGAGAGACGTTTACCATGCTATAGAAATTACTTAAAAGCAAGGAAACAAACGAAATGTCTCTCACCGTGAGATTAGTGCTGACAGCAACCATGTGCTTTGCCACAGCTTCAGGCCTGGAAACATTGTGCCAGAGATATATAAGACAGACATATTTATTACATGAACAAATCTAATATTAGGAAGTCAAACCATCATGTTATGGTCTCAGCCAAATACTATCAAGATACCATCATATGGTAGATCGTTAATTTTACAATGGTAACAAATAAATCCTACAGAATGTTCAAGCTCAATAATATACAGCAGTTCCTTAATACATCATGGATTTCAAGGAAAATTTTAGCCTAAGATTTCACTCCCATCTATATCAACCTCTGAGGTTGCAGGCTAATTTGACTTTCTAATAGAGTGGTTACTGGTTGGTTCTGCAGCTCTGGAGAGTTCCATAAGACACTCGATATCAATATCTAATGCAAACTTGCACGTGCAGGATTGTATTAAGGTATGATTGCCATATGCACACTAAGGTCTTTTACTGCAAAGCTACAGCTGATACGGTAAAAACAGCCTTCATGGTCATAATGACATACCAAGGCTGGTGATGTGTTATGTGGACTTCACGGGCATCACACCTCCCAGATTAACTGGATTGCTCCTTAGGGCTACCTCATTCAACTTCATCCGTTTAGAAGAAAACACTAGGCTATTTGGGAAGATGTGGATATGAAAAAAACAAGTTCAACTTATTAAACTTTTTGCCACAGGTTTCTGCAGAAATCTACGTAATACTGATGCATGCATTGACTGCTAAAATTTTTGTTTAGGCAGTGGACTTCAACTTAATGAATGTAATGGAGGTCCTCAATTTACGCTTTAGTTGATAATATTTCTGTCCACATTAACATCACTCCAACCATTACAGATACCTTTCCATTGAAAGAACAATGATATCTCTTCAAAAAACTTTCAATACAAAGTTTTGATTATATTAGTCAGCAAATGCATGCGTACTGTAACAACTTCAGGCAGTATGATAGGATGTCCCTCCTATATATAAATGTAGAGTTTCCCGAAGCTACATGTCAACTTTAAGTGCTTCGTAATTCTATGTGTTGGTTTTTGGTGCTTCGTAATCCTATTCCTATGTATCAAATTCTGGTGCTTCGGAATAGTCCATGTAGATTAGGAATTTTATCTATGCCTATTAGAATTTTTATAATTATAGAACACCTGATCAACGTAAATTATAAATAAACTTTAAAACTTAATAATTCTTTAATTTGTTGTCAGTTTTTTATATATGATATATCAAATTAATCATCTTTTAGCGATTCTCGATTGTGATATTCATATTGCATATATAAAAAAAATTATATCCACTTCTTAAATATATAAATTAAATTATTAATTATCTAACATATCCTAATTGGAAAATTAAAAGCAGTAATTATTAATTAACCTATCAAGCCTTTCATATGATATAAATTAAAAATATTATTGTAAAACCGGAGAGCAAATTTTACAGGCAATGGGTGTCATTTTAAATAAAAATAAAAATCAGTTAGAAGTATTTGAAAATTTAAATAAAAGTTTTTATTTTTTTATCAATTACACAAATGTTGTAGAACTATTAGTTATTATTATTATAAAACTATAATCGCTTGCCTGTTCATTTGATTTGAGTGCATCTAAAACTAAAAAGTAGAACAGACGGTATTATGAGGTTAAAGCTCAACAAAATAATTGTACTCCCCCATAATAATACTGGTTAGCCTAGTAGCATGGAGCTGAATCTAGAACAATTTTAGTATGTATTCTGTAATGTTCTCACCCCAAGGCAGCTGAGATCCACTCCCTTAGAGTCCGGGCATTCAGCATGGTTTCGGCTGTAGTAAAAGTTTTTGATACCACCACAACTGTAAAACAATCGAAAAACAAGAAAAGCAATTAATCTGGGAATGTCAACCTTCAGCAGGGCTTGCAAAATACTATTTGAGAATTATCTAATAAACAGAGTAGAGATACCTAATGTTGTTTCAGGATTTAACCCAGCAATGTTCTTCGCAACATCAACTGGATCGACATTTGCAAGGCTTTGACAAGGATTAAGAATGAGAAAAGAACAGATTAAGCTCAAATGCATTATTACATATGAGATGATAGTGCGAATACTCTGAACTAAACATCTTAGGCAGCAGTGAAGTCCAGATTCTGATGTGAAGACTCATCTTATTGGACCTTAAAGGCTCTTCTACCATAAATTGAATAATTCATATTACCATCTAAAACAAACTACCCATAATGGGATAATGGCCAAGCCATTTCCATGAAAACCTTCAATTTGTCAAATGAGAAACAAAAGAGTCGGGATAAAAAATTAAGTCAAGAAAGATGAAACAATATCACTTCAGAAAAAAGTACAGAATGAAATAAATAATACAGATGATCGTGTGAAAGCTTAACAAATCACAAGTGATTGCTCATTCGTCATACAAAACAATATGTAACTAGTTTACCATTTAACCTCTCAACAACAAGAGCACTCATATTTAAAATGTTCTCTTGAAATAATAATTGGTTTGTGGTCTCAATACAGACTTGAAAGCAACTTACAAATTAGTTCAACACTTTCAAACTCTAAAATAACAAACTGAATTGTCATACAAATAAAATAAGTTAACATAGGATGACAATCTCATTAAAAAAAATAAAAAAATGACTTAGTATTATATCATACTTACAACCGCAACTGGCGCCCCCTAGCAAATTCAGCAGCTTCTGGATCTGCAAGTTAGAAAGTTATGTGGAATGCTATCCACTTTAAAATTGTACAAGCATATAAATTAAATTGTTGGAGATAAATGATCATCAGTCAAGATCAGAAAAAACCATTATACGAGTGAAGTTAGAGTATAACCATAACTACCTGTTTGAAGTGCTGTATGTACAAAGAGAGGACCAAGGAAACTGCCTCCAATTCCAATTGCAATAACATTTTCCAACAATTTCCCAGTGCCTCCAACCTGGCATATAGCAAGTTAACAATATGGGCAGAATGCAACCTATAAGAATTGCTACATATTGGATGAGAGGACTTACCCAGGCACCACTGCGGACCCTATCAGAGAAATCTTTGATATTATCAAGAACTTGCCAAACATCCGGGACCACATTCTTCCCATCATTATTTATGACTGAATCCCTTGGAGCACGAAGTGCTACATGAAGGACAGATCTATTCTCTGTACTGTTAATCTGATGATACCAAACCAAGTAATAATAATAAATGAATGAAATTATTGAGTGGATGATTTTGCAAGACATTTCACAGAAGGCTTTCAAATATATTCAGTTAGCTAACATGTCAAAGATATATAGGAAACTATGCAATGACTATTGGATCTTATCAAATGATGATATGGATAACCCCATTAGGATCCTGCCACAAAGGATAGCAAATAATCCTACTTTCAGATTTTATTCAGACGAGCATGTTCTTGAGATTGATATGCTCTCCAACAGTACAAAAGATACAGAAAACTCTGAGATTAATGATGTCGTGAAATATGCAAGTCGGCATCATATTGCTATACCTAACACAGTTTTCATCTAAGTCCCAAAACATCGTACAACAATATGCAATTTCAACTAACAAAAGGTAGCTTTCCAAAAGAGACATATTTGCTCGTTGGTAGCATATTGCTGTGGAAACCCCTATATATATCTTAGAGTTAGTATTCATTCATACATTCATACGATAAGCACGCATCAACTTACACGCTCTCCCTTGAACATCCGATCAATCTTCTCTTTTAAATGAGCTGCCTGCATCACCATATAATGTAACACGAATCAGATTCCAAAATTCTATTATCCACCAAACAGAAGAGGTTCATCTCTATCTTACCTCTGCTAATTTTTTTAACTTACTCAACGTGTCAAGAGTTACACGTTGCCTCGAATAATCCAACAATATCCTGTCGAACTCACTGTCCATGATTTAAAAGGAATCCGAAAGTTAATACTATATCTGCATAACGCCCCATCAATATAAAACTTAAATTCTAGACCAATATCATACACCATCATGGACTGGCACCGCTCTGCGTCACCCATCAATTCACGCAGATGAGTCTTCTCAATGTCCTCGACATGGGCCTGCACATGCAAGCAAAATAACCATCAAACACTGTTCCCCAGAATGTTCGGTGTTGAAACTCGAAAAAATGAAATTACAAAGTTACCTTCAAATCCTTCCACGGCTCGGTTTCGCAGATCAGAGCCGGCGGTGCCATCTGCAGAAATTCTAACACAATTCCAAAGTTCTTTTTAAGATCAGATTCACAAAACCTTATAAACAACTGCAGTCTCTAATCGGAAAACAATAGTCCAGGCAGTTTCATCACCCTTGATCTAACCAAAAGCAGGCGAATCTAACTCAACAAAACAATACCTCCATCGTGAAAACATAAAATCAACAGAAACATATTCGCTTTTGAAAAACCTTATCCACAAAATCCGTTACGGAAAAAAAATAAAAAAAAAAATAGCCATTTCCGCACACACTTTTCGAATAAAACATTCATCGGATACATCGAAACATGAGATCACGAGAAAATTTCATGAAATTATCAGAAGAACAGCTAAAAAAATTACGAAAATATACCTGAAAACGTAATGCGTAACGAAAATTGTTGGCTGGGTGTGAAAATGGTTAGGAGCTGCCCGCAAACAGAGAACAGAACTTTCTACTATGTGTTGTGAAGAAAACACGTATTTGAAACTCAGGGAGACGACGATGTCACGTGCCGAGGAAGGGGAAAAAGTGACGGGTCACGTGACGTATTTGATTCGAAGGGAGGACCCATTACCTGCGACGCGGACAGCGGATCTAGTGTGCCCTCGGGGTGATGCTTTTCGAAATGGACGACTGAGATTTGATAGACAGAAGAGAGATTCGATGCCAAAAAAAAGATGGGAAAAGAACAAAAAGAATATTCCGTTGCCGGGAATTGAACCCGGGTCTCCTGGGTGAAAGCCAGATATCCTAACCACTGGACGACAACGGATACTTGAAACTGCGTCTCGTAGGTACGCAATACATAGTGGATAGATAAATTATGGAAAAAACTTATTAACTTTTAAATGTATAATTTAAGTTTTTTTTTATATAATTTTAAAAGAAATTTTAGGGAAAATTAAGTAATAAATCTCATTTTATAGGTAAATAATAACATAATTTTGTAAGAATTATTTGAAATCTGAAAAAAAAGGCACCTTTTCAAGTTTTAAATACAATTATTTTTATAGTATTTAATTAGTTATTTTATCCGAGCCATATTAGAAAGCGTAACATTTTGGCACGTAAAATTAACGAAGCGTGCGAAACTATTACTTAAGCTCCGCACATTCTGAAATTATATAAGGGATATTGTATTCGTACACGAGCAAACCGTTGTGTGTAGTGATGTAACCGAACCAAATCGAACCGAGCTTGGGTTGTTCGAGCTCGCGTTTGTTTACGTTCGAACAGTGTTCGTGTTCATTCGTTTATTTTTCGAGCAAAAAATCGTGTTCGAGTTCGTTCGTTTAATTGTACGTCAAAGTTCGAGTTCGTTCGAGTTCGAATAATTTAATACATAAACTTTTTAAATATATTTTATTAATTCGAAATTTGTTCGTTCGAACTCAAAAAATAAAAAAAATAAAATAACAATATTTATATATTTTAAATTTTTTATTAAAAATTTACGTAAATATATAAAATATATATTATATTAAGTTTTAGAATTTTTATTAACAATATTATACAAATACAAATATATAAAAATAAAATAAAATTATATTAAATTATTGTTCGTGAACATAATCGAATGAGCTCGTGTTCGTTCGATTATTGAACGAGCCTAATTTTTTATTCGAACTCGGCTCGATTAATAATCGACCGAGTTTTTCCGAACACGAACGAGCTCGAACGAGCTTTTGTGCGAGAGGAAGAGAAGGCCTTTTTCAGGCAAAAATTCAATTTTGGTCCGCTAACTTGTCCATTGTCCACTTTTGGTCCACTAACTTGTCCCTCATCAAAAATAGTCCATTATGTTACATTTTTCATCAGTTTTAGTACACTACTCCAGTTGGCGGGATTACAAGATGATGTGGACCGGGATTAGAACTACGTGGAGGGATAAGATGTTGACGTGGTAGGATAAAAAACTGATTTGGCATCTCGTAATCCCGGGCCACGGGATTAGTGTACTAAAACTGATGAAATGTGTAACATAATGGACCTTTTTTGATGAGGGACAAATTAGTGTATCAAAAGTGGACAATGGACAAATTAGCGGACCAAAATTAGATTTTTGCCGCCTTTTTCAATAGGGCTCACGAGATGGTACCTTGGGCTGCAATTTATGTACCTCCAGTTCATTGACATGCACAAGTTGGTTTGGTCCCATTGGGGTAGTACTAAAGGCGATTCCTATCCTATTAAAAACCCATTTGTTTGGTCAACGTCATATCGACATCACCTCCCCATATGTCGCTTTTAATTATGTCATCTTTTTTATAAAAAAAATAAAAAAAATTGTTCATTATCTTTGTACCATTACCAGGCCAAAACAGCACAGGTCCTACTTAGTCTTAACATACACATTGTTTTATCCCTATATCTTATTATAATCACCTAATATTTTGAAAATTTCAAGTACATACCTAACCAATATATTTGGTCAAATTAAGCAAACAAAGGCAAATCAACTAGAACACGGATCAAACAAAGCCTAGTTTAGCCAATAGTTGTGAGTGGATTGTTCACGAACAAAAAGTTGGTTCGTGTTTGACAAGAGCACGGTTGTTTGTTGATCGAACTGAATTCGAACAGAAAATTATACTCCTTTAATAATCGAACGAACACAAGCTCATTCGCAAACATTAATTTAAGATAATTTTATTTTAATTTTTATATATTTACGTGATATTTTAAATATACAAATCGAAAATATAATTTTATTTTTTTTAGGTCGAAATAGCAGTTTTCGAGTTAATCAACCATATTCAAAAGATTGTTTCCTAAAATATTTGAACTCGAACTTTGACGAACTGTTAAACAAACGAACTCGAACACAATTTTTAATGAACACGAACAAGAGCTTGAAATATCTATGATCAACTCGTTTGGTTTGATTATAGCACTAGTTATGAAATAGTTCGATTAGCTGATAATCGATCCAATTAAGTATATACTTTTACTACCTAACTCAGACAATTGATTATGCATAAATATTTGATAAATAATTATTTTTATCATATGTAAAAATAACTAATATCACTACCAATTAATTAAATTATTCCATATGTCTGTATTGAAGTTTTTCGTAGTTTTTTTTTTTTTTTTTTTTTTTTTTTTTTTTTTTTTTTTTTTTTTTTTTTTTTTGCTTATGAAGTTTTTCGTAGTTAATAAACCTTTTGAAAAGATATATTTCTAATCGGTATTCACCAACGCCTCTTTTACTTAAGTTGATAGGATATAATATATGGTTGAATAACTCTTATTACACTACAAGAAATTGTTAAAATGCCAACAAAAATTACCAACAAAAATTTTTCCGTTGGGGATTGCTAACGAATCGCCAACGGATTAGCAATGTATTACATGTACAATTTTTTTAAACAGATTACCAACAGAATACTAACAAGATATAGCAACGGAAAATTACTCTTTGTATTTTGTTGGCAAATAGTGTCGAAAATATTCTGTTAGTAAACACAAATAAAATATCAATAGAATAACAACAAAGTATTTCAAAATTGTATTAGCAATGGATTATTCCGTTGGTAAATAAAAACAGATATTTTTCGTTGGCAAATAGCAACGAAATAGCAACAGACATCATCAATATTGTATTAGTAACAGATTATTACGTTGGTAAATAGAAACGGATTTTTTTTGTTGCCAAATAGCAACGAAATAGCAACAGACATCATCAATATTGTATTAACAACGGATTATTCCGTTGGCAAATAACAACGAATTTTTTCCATTGGTAAATAGCAACGGAATAGCAACGAACATCTTCAATATTGTATTAACAACGGATAATTCCGTTGGTAAATAGCAACGAAATGTTTCCGTTGACAAATAGTAACGGAATAGCAACAAACTCTTCAAAAACTGTATTAGCAACGGATTATTTCGTTGGCAAATAGCAACAGAATTTTTCCGTTGGCAAATAGCAACGGAATAGCAACAAACTATTGCAAAATTGTATTAGCAACAGATTATTCTGTTGGTAAATAGCAACACAATTTTTCAGTTGGCAAATAGCAACAGAATAGCAACAAACTCTTCCAAAATTGTATTAGCAACGGAATTTTTCCGTTAGCAAATAGCAAGGGAATAAAAACCGACACTTTTAATATTGTATTAGCAACGGATTTCTATATTTATTTTTGACATAAACAAAGTAATAATTTTACTTATTTTGTTAATTATAATACTCAACCATTAATTTTTTAAAATTCATTGTCATAATGACATTATTATTATAATTATAACACTTAGAAAAGTAAAATTCTTTATATATATATATGTATATAATGATAAATATTTAATATACCTTAATAATATTTAGTTATGCAATTAATTTAAAAATATTTAAACAAATTCATCAAAATTTATATTTTTCTTCTTAATTTATTAGTATAATTAAAAATAAAATCAAACGCTACTCCATTTTTCTCCTTAATTTATTATTAGGATTAAAAATAAAATCAATCACTATTACATAATTTATAGTTGAGAGTTAATGTAATAGTTAATTATTTATAGTTTATTAAATTACACAACTGCTTAAATTTTTAATTTAGATAGTTTATACAAAAATAAATTTCTTTTAATCAACTAAACTTTATAAGTTTTATAATTGTACTTATTATTTATATAGATGTTTAAATATATGATAAAATTTTACCAAAATATTTCTTTTAATTTCAGAAAAAAATTAAAATGATAAACTTATTTTCAAAGGAATATAACATAATTTATTATCAATTAGTGCACCGTACGAGTTGCGTACTAATTTAAATATACACATTTTATGTGATTTTTCACAGTTTAAATTTTCTATAAAATTTTCAATAAATTAATATAGATAAATCATATAACATATTTATTCCATATTTTAAATTTGTAGACATTATTTATCACGGTGATAAATTTGAACGATAATGTGACCGACAACAAATATAGAAATTTTCCAGAATATATATATATATATATATATATATACACACACAG